GGCGTGAAGCTGACCACTCACCTCCAACTAGTGCCGAGTTCAAGAAAATGTGGATCTATACATCCACTCCCCCATACGCCTTCGTGGCATAGTACTTAATTAGTTAAGCATAGGAACAACTTTATCTTCTCCTATTGTAGCCTACATTCGAGGCCAAAACTCTTACGGTCTAAATATATTAATTTAACTATAAAAAACCTATTCCTGTAACAGACCGTGAAGGCCAGTAGGAATGTGAGATGTCAAGGCTCCCACATTTTCTAGCCAATCGGCCCGCAGATGGCGGTAATGTTGTCAGCCTTACGCGCCGGCCACCCTTTACCCTCCAGGAAGATTCCTGGCACTCATTTCTGTTAGAGACTGAGTCGACTCCAGGGCCATACTGCGGCTGGAAGGATTAGATAAACAATGACCTCATCGGGAATCGAACCCGCGACCTTGTGGCTAGAAGCAGAGTGCCTCAACTAACTACGCTACCGCGCGCCTCTATAAATTTAACAATGACAAATATGAACCAAATCTTAAACGGTTATTCTTGAAGCGTTCTTTCTTCTGGGATATAACGCTTTGCAGCTCCCTAAAACTCAACCCACCTTCTGGAGGAATTCGTCACCTCCCTCTTCAGGGTCGAGAAATGAACTGCTGACATATACTAGGAAACGTTTTTTAACTTTCAACGAACTACACGGCTTTATATACCAGAAGACAAAACTCTTCAAAACCACTGCTGTGAGAACCTCAAATACTGCAACGGGATTGATCTTAGTTCTATTGCACAAATTCTCCCCGAAGAGACGGGTTGAAGTTAATTGAAATCTCTCCACTGATTGAAATATTATGCACTAAATACAGAATGCTTGAAAGCCGGTTTTCCAGGGTAACCGCCCTAGGAATGAGCACCTAGCAGAACAACTGAAGGGCTAAGAATTCGATACTCATAATTGGTGTAGTCGTGACCTCGAAAGTAGAGGAATTTCCGTTGTAGAAGCCGTTACGAAACAGAGACTTGTGAAGACATAACCGAGCGTGCTACAGTGATTTGTAGAGCGTGTAGGTCAATGAGAGTGTTGTAATTATTTGTACGAGTAGATACGAATCTTAGCTTTCAGTAAGTCCAATCAAGTCACGAACACGTGACAATATTCTGCTTATGCGAGCTGTGTGTATCTGAAGCTAGTCATGTATCAGTGTGTTGGCGCAGTCCAGGATGAAGGAGAGCGACTGATGTAACTTTCTCTGGAATGAAGTCCAGCGCCATCAGCACACAGTCAAAATAATCAAGTAAAATGAACTACAGTGCCAGTAACATCGACTTTGTGACAGTTATTGGCCACACAAAAGCTCATTAATTTAACTGTAAAAGTATAAGTGCAATAAATATATAAATACGCCCATTTGATATTCCGTTACCGTTTATCGCAGCCGTTGTCGTACAACTGCCTGGAACAATCGTTGTTTAGGCTTGATAGCGTTCGGATTCCAAGACGTTGCAGCGGGAACGCTGGTCGTTGCCTAGGAAATCAACCATGATCTCATCTACCATTCCGGCTTTCTGGCGGCACGCCACAATATAGTTTATTACTTACGTACCACCATGAAAATACCTGTGGATCTGGCTTCTTTCTATGACAGTGGGTGGTGTAGAACACACGAAACTCGAGTGTCATTTCAGGAACACTTAAAACGACATTTGACTTGCGTATTTTTGTTCTTCAAATGCATCTAAAATCTTTATTTCCGCATCATCGTCATGTATATTCTGAGCCACGTGTTGAAATAAATTCTTCACTACATTGCAGCTGATTTCCCGCACACTCAGGTCGACAAGAGAGTTCTTTGCACTGTCCAGTTCATTTTACAGCGGAATCAGGTTCAGGACTACACAGCATTGAATGGCGCCTGACTGGTGAATAATAAATTCGATAGGATTGGGAAGGGGTGGTTGTCTCCTAATTGAGGTGCTATCCTCACATTTGCCTGGAAGGACTGAAGAAAACCACGAAAAGCATCAGTCACAATAGCCGGTTTACCGGCCTGTATTCCAACCAAGCACATCCGGATTGCAATTCTAGGGCTTTCCGCTTCTTGGTGCTAGCGCTCTACATTACAAGTGTGGTAAGGCCTTATTCATGAGTTCAGCCAAATTTTGTCCTTTTTGTCGTTTTCCGATATTATCGTGAAGTATATTTGGTGTCAGAAGTGGGATAGTGGGATTGGATTAATAGATTATTGGATTGAAGATTGAATGTGTAGTTATGTCGCCACACTACAAAAATGGAACAAATGTTGAAACCAATGATAAATGCCTGGTAAGAAAAAATGAAGGCATGGCTGAAGAATTAGAGCCAGCCAAGATGGACGCCCATCAAGAGAGGATGGACTCCCGGCTAGAGAAACGGGAGGCCTGTCTAGAAAAGACGGATGCCACGGATTTTGAGGCAAATCCAGAAGAAATAGGAGTCAGAGGCGGAGAATTAGGAGATCCCTAAGGAAGAGGCAGCAGTGGAAAATTTTGGAGCACTGAAGAAGCAGTACAGGGACCGGCATTTAGCCGTAATGCGTCGCTGTCAGCCGGAGAAACGGATCCAGGACAGTGGTGTTTATCGGAAGAAGTTGATCGCCGCCTGCAGAGGGATGACCCGCATGGCATAAGGAGCACAGTCGTCAGAGACAGCCAGGACAGTGCTGCAAGGGCGGACGTTCGGGATGAGACGTCGGGCGAAACCGGAAAGCGTCACTTGAATAAGGAATCAAGCCTCAAGACGGCGATTACGTCTGGGGAGCAGGACAACACTCAGCAGTATCTTCAGGAACAGTGCAGGGCTAGCGGTCGCAAAGCAAATAATCGGGACTTCCATTAGACTGCGGACATTGTGGAGGGGTCGGCCCCTTCAGAAACGGAAGAAGAGCCCACTAACAACAGCTTAAGAGCCATTAATATCGGAGCATTGATCACTCTCGGAAATTTTGGCCTCCACCGATGGGAAAAGCAGAATTATGGCGATACGCTTAGATCGACCGAAACATGGGGAAGAAGGTGAGGGCAGATACAGACGTGGCAAGCACGGCCCTCGGAAAAGAAGAATTGCGGTACGCTGGAAGGCTATACGGAACGAACAGCCGTAGGGAAAGAGCAATGCTGCGTACAGACCCGTTGCTAAGCGTTGACTCGGTAAGCAGCGGCCGTTTCTAGGCAACGCCCGCAACATACACGCACGCAGCAATAGAACAGCGGTGATGGAACCCGTTTCTAAGCAACGGATCTGTAAACACGCATCTAGAACAATAACGATACTGCTGGAAACTCTGTTTTCTATTCGGTCAATGCAAAGCGTTTATAAAGATGGCAATTTTGGCGATCCGAGGTGGGGGTCGAATACCTCCACCGTGACCCTGCGAGTCGTAGGAGGCGACGAAAAGGGAAGTCTCAAGTCTGACACAGTAATATATGGTCGCGAGTACCAAGGGACTCGGAACCGAGAAAGACTACGCTGACAAGGACCAGCAGCATATACACAAGGCAGACCCGTCCTCTCGTCAGAGAGGGCGCCCCACAATAACAAGACCGTAAATGCCAAACAGTAATAAATATCTGGTCATGAGCCCCAGTTGGGGCTTGACACCAAGACTTACTGACTGACTAATCGTCAGTCGCAATGTGACTTGGACTTGGACCCAGTTCAAAAATTATTTCCACTGAAGGAGATATGCTAATCCCGCGTGAACGATGGGTCGAATACCTCCACCGTAGCCCTGCGAGTCGTAGGAGGATATAACTTGGCCCCCTGTTCCTGGGGGATATAAATACGGGACCTGGCCTTCCAGGTTAGGGGAGTCTCGAGTCTGAGACAGTAAAATGTGGTCATGAGTCCCGCGGGACTCGGACCCGAGAATGACTACGCTGGCGAGGACCATCAGTCGTAAATGATAGACTATAACCGCGAGTGTTCAGTTGTAAAAAAAAAATACTGGTCGTGGGTCTCAATGGGCTTTGCTGCAAGACGAACTGATTAGCGGTAAACGGCGGTTTACCGTAAAGTCGTAAAGTAACTCTGACTGACAATCCAGTTCAGTTGAATGAAGTGATGTGAAGTAGCTGGTTGGTGAGTTGAGAGTTCAGGTGTGATGTGTTAACCAGCGGACAACGGCGTGACCACGGAAGCTGAAGAATATCCATTGTTAAGATTCGTTATCAGGAAACGTCTAGTGAAATATTGCAGAGGTATAGCCATTGTTGACATTATTATCAAGCAACGACTAACGATGCAGATTGAGAAGACTTAGCGTATAGCGATTTGTAGTGTGGTATTCTGGTATAATGGAAAAACTACCGCATTATCACTTTTCCTGGATAGTCTCTTTCCAAAAACAGAAGAACGCATTAAGTGGAGGAACTGTTTTGGAAGAGACTGTGGACCTGTCGTCTGACAGATTACTGATGAATGAATGAATTCAGCAATAGTATTATAGTTGTTTGTATTTACTACCTGCAAGTAAACAATAAAACTATTCACAAATATGTACCCCGTCTATAGTCACAGGTAAACACGCGACAATAAATTCAGTTACATGTTGTCGTATTGTGATTTTTCGATACTTCCGTAAAGTGTTAATAATAATACGTGTAAGGCCGGTTATGTTACAGAATATTGCTTCTGTAGTGGAGACGGGGGAGAAAAATTTTGTATTTCCCGGTGGTTTTGGTAATAATGCCGGAGAGCGCCATAGGCCACGTGACATTATTCAACCAATCCCTTTACTCCACATGACAAAAACGTGTTGTTGCAGGATACAGCGTTTGGTATATTGGTATAAATATGGAGCAATAAAAGACTGCATAATAAAGTAACATTCGGTAATTATATTTCCTTTCTGGTTCTGAATAAATAGTTTTGATCACCAACTTTTCCTCTCTATAATGTAGTGCTAAAGGCTATCACGTAGTGTCGCTGCGCAGAGTAGAACAAGTTTAGTAGGCCTATGGGAGTAAGGGTTATAAGTGAATTTGAGAAAAATGGTGTGTGCGTTGAATAAATGTTTTCGTAGTTTCGTTATGTTCAGTGTATGATATTTCTGTTAGTTTATATTGTATATGTGTTAGTGTAAATAGGGTTTGGAATAGTGCCGTGTGTAGTTTCATTTTATTTATTGCAAACTGAATTCAGTATTCTTTGTACGTCTTCCGAGTTCGAAACTAATGCCAAGGAGCTCCGACGGTGAGTTTCACGCTATCATTTCCGGTTGGTAGTCCTACATATTTACCGTTAGTAATTGCTTATTAATATAATAAGTGATTATCTGAATTGTAGTTGTATAAACGTAAAGTTCGTGTTTGAGAATTTGGATTGAACCGTATTAGATTTTCGTAGATGAGTATTTTTAAATTTGTCAGTAACTTTATTGTCTGCCTAAGAAATTTCACGTTCCATCAGATACAACAGAAAAGTGAGATCGTTTGTAAATTTTGATATGTAAGAATTCTTGATTCAAAATTCAAAGAACTGCTAGATCAATGTGATTACATTTTAGGCATGTCGTTATTTTGCCTCTACAGTTTTTTTAATGTGTATGGAGTTATATTACCTTTGTTTTAAGTAATAACTGTTTACTAGATTTTGGAATGGAATGAACATTGAATGTCATGGATATGAGGTTAGATACTTTCCCTAACCTCAAACCGTATGAAAGTTGATTTCTGCAGTACCGTGATATTTATATTTATCTTGTATGGATTACAGAACGTGCTGAATCGTCTGTTGGTGGGTGTTTGTTAATGAGCACTAGAAGAAGGTTTTGAAGACCATCACAGAAATTGAAGAGTACCTTAAGTAGCCATGGAAGACGGCCACGCGAAGACTGTGGACGAGGTTTTAAATTATTTTTCTGTGGACCCAGAGAGAGGTCTTGCGCTTGATCAGGTGAAGAGGAATCAGGAGAAATATGGACCAAATGGTGAGTGTCAGCAATCTGAACATGGATAAATTAATGTATGCTTTGAATGTATGTACACATGAGCAAAATATAAAACACATCTTTGAGGGTGGAACAGCATCTGGGTGACATTTATCTTGTATCTTTTTGAAATGTAATTCGTGTGTATAAGAGAAGCTTATATATATTAGCACTTGAGCAAGAGAGCAGTAATTGCAGTATGTTTCAGAAGATACAGATGTATGTGTAATTGATTGTGAACCTTGAATTAAATACGTATTATCTCTGCAGAAAAGAAGTGCTTTTAATTAAAACAGTAGCACAGAATTCTGAATGACTGTTTTGCATAAAACTGGTGGCACTTGTGCATGTTATTGAACAGGCTAGTCCCCCCCATGCATATTCGTGTAATAGCACTGCATAATTTTAGTTGTATTGTATGATTGATGCTACTGAAAATATGTAATTGTAATGCCTGTTGTTGGCCATGGAACACACCAGCAGCTGTTATCTGCTGATGATGTAAATCTATAGGGTGATAACATAAATAGCATAAAGAAAAAACACAGAAGCTCTGACTGATGCTAGTAATGAGGTTGGTCTCAAATAAACACAGAGAAAACTATATGTTGCGATATCTTGTCACCAGAATGCAGGGCACAGTTGTAACATAAAGACAGCTAATGGACTCTTTGACAGTGTGGCACAGTTCAGATATTTGGGAACGACGGTAAGAAATGAAAATTTGATTCATACGAAACTTAGGAAGAAACTGAATTCATGTAATTGTTGCTACAAGTCAGTTCAGAACATTTTGTCTCCTTGTCTGCTGTATAAAACTTAAAAATTGAAATATATAAGAACTGGAATTCTGCATGTAGTTTTGTATGAGTGAAGCTAGGTCCCATGTTAAGAGGGAGAAGTAGGCTGAGGGTGTTTGAGAACAGGGTGCTGAGGAGAATGTTTACACCAAGGAGAGATGATGTGATCAGGGAGCTGGAGAAAACTGCATAATGAGGAGCTTCATAACTTGTACTTTCCAGCACATATAATAAAATGATTAAGCAGGGCATGTAGCACATGTCAAGTGAAAGAGTGCTTATGGGATTTTGGTGGGAAAGCCAGGAGAAAAGAGACCACTAGGTGGGAAGATAATATTAAAATGGATCTCAGAGAAACAGGATGGGGTGATATGAACTGGATTGATTCGGCTCAGGATAGGAACCATTGTAGGGCTCTTGTGAATGTGGTAATGAACCTTCGGGTTCCATAAAATGTCGGGAAATTCTTAAATAGTGACGTGACTGGCAGCTTGTCAGAGAGGACTCAGCTCCATGTAGTTAGTTAGTTAGTTTGTTTGTTTGTATGTCAGTCATTCAGGCAGTCAGTTGATCGGGCACTTGGTGCTAAGCCACTTCATTGAATGTATTGTCACGTGTTAAAGACTAGACATGGGGTTTGGATTGGTAACTGGATTTACTGGGCACTTGTAACCTGTAACTGCAAGTAATTAAAACACTATTACTGATGTACACATTTAACAAATCACCATATCACGTGGTGTGTCAATCTGTTATTTACAGCTTTTGCTAGTTGTTGCTTGGTTATGATTTTCAACAATGAAAATTCTTCTGTCATGCTTACACGGTTGCTGGCTGGCTACCATCGCACACCTAAATCATGATGGCAACTAACTTATCTTGTTCATGCTCACTATGTAGCCTCGGCACAGACCACACAGAAAACACTGTCCCATCATTTCTTCTATCACGTTTATTCATTTCCTAGCACTGGCTCACTTGTTTGATGGCATGGGACTATGTTTACTGTGGCACTGCTTAGTGATGGATGGCGGATGACATCTCTTATTAAAGTATTTCCTCATGTCACAATATAAACAGACATTTTAGTACAGTAGGTTGAGTTGCTGTAATAAACATTCCAACATTATAGTAAGCTGTGACAGCTCAGTCAGTAGAGTGACTGCTTGTGGACTGGAAGATCAGGGGCAGGAATTGTCCTTTTCTCCACCACATTCACGCTGACTGTAGGGCTCACCCAGTGTTATTTCCAGTGGACATTCAACACTTTTTCCTCTAGGATGTAAACCTGACTACGCACCTCTGTATAGAGCGAGGGCAGACATTTCATGGAGTTTATGTGCGTTCTCTCTTACCATATGTTAGTGAAATTCCAACCTTCCTCTGGAGTGTACCATTGACAATGCTGGGATTTTTGCTCTCCCTCATATGTATTCCTATCACCATTGAGCACTTACCATTTGTTGTTCACAGTCACTAAGTTCTATGAAATGTTGGGTACTGTTAGAACTGTCAGTAGGTGGTAGTAAGTTTCATGTAATGTTGACAGTGATGTCCATCCCAAAAGCTGCTTGTGATACTTGTTTTGCAGTTGCAGGTTGGATACAAGTCGGTTGAAATAAAAAATGTTAAGTACAAGGTGTGGCAATAAAGAAACCGGATTCATGCTCTAACCCTTTATTAAAAAAAATCAGACAGTCGAAATGTTATCCCCTTCAATGTAGTCCCCTCCCCGATCCCTACACCGCTCCATGCGAATTTTCCACTGTTGGAAGCAGTGCTGCAGGTCATCTTGTGTTATGCTCTTCAAGAGTTGCGTCGCTTTTGCTTTCACTGCATCCACGGACTCGAACCTGGTCCCTTTCAGCGCAGACTTGATTTTTGGGAAGAGAAAAAAGTCGCACGGTGCTAGGTCCGGAGAATACGGTGGATGTTCCATCACTGGAATGTTGTTTTTTGCCAAATACCTCTTCACAGATAGCGCGTTGTGTGCTGGCGCGTTGTCGTGATGAAGAACCCATGAGGCATTCTTCCACATGTCTGGTCTCCTTCGTCGCACACGTTCACGGAGGT